AGTGCGCGGTGCGTGTGCGTGTGCGCGTGCGTGTGCGTGTGCGTGTGCGTGTGCGTGTGCGTGTGTGTGTGTGTGTGCGTGTGTGTGTGTGTGCGTGTGTGTGTGCGTGTGTGTGTGTGTGCGTGTGTGTGTGTGCGTGCGTGTGTGTGTGTGCGTGCGTGCGTGCGTGTGTGTGTGTGTGCGTGTGTGTGTGCGCGCGTGTGTGTGGGCTCCGCAGCAGCGCCCTGCATCAGCTCAGCCGTCGTCAGCCCTGCGCTCGTCGCCTTCTGCTGAAGCAGCCCGTGGGACTGGTCAAGGTTGGTGAAGAAATCGCGCTGGTACCAGTCGTGCCATCGTGCCTGCCGCATCACGTAGTCGGAGCTCCCTCGCACGTGCTCCAATGCCCGGGTTCGTCGGCGAACTTGGAGGCCGCCGTGCGCCACGTTCTCCCACTGGTAGACCCGGCACTTCGCCGCCGCCGCAGTCGCGCGGGCGTCAATGAGCGCGGACTGGAAGCCGAGGGCGCGCAAGCTCCGGAGGGCCGCGGGAGGCGCCCACCCCCGCGGACCCGGGAAGAGAATAGCGCACGCCTTTTGCTCATAGTCGTCCCAATCAGCGGGGGGCCGGTCAAGTTGAAGCACGGAGCCGAGAACCGGGAATATGCATGCGCGGTAAGCCAGAAGCGTCAACAACAAGCCACATCCAATGTCTCTCCAGATCCGGGCTCGCGTAACGAATTTGTCCAAGGGCTTTGTCCAAGAATGCTCCGCGCGCTCTGGCCCCACAGCAAAACCCAGGTAGGTGGCATAACGACGGATTGTAAAGTCGCTCCAGGCGGGGGCCGCCGCGTGGAGCTGAATCCGCACCTGGTCTAAGTCGCCCAACGACAGTGGCACCCATGCCGACTTGCCGTGGCGAAGCCGGAGTCCAGAGAGCAGGGCGTACTCCTCGAACATGTGCTCCAAGATCGGGGCGTCTCTCCTCCCGTGCGAGAGCACGACCGCCAGGTCGTCGGCATAGGCGCGCGGTAAAGCATCAGGAACGTGACGGGCGAGTCTCCGAAGAAGAACATCTGATAGCACCGCGAACAGCAGGGGGGATAATGGGCAGCCTTGGCGCACCCCTGCTGCGAGAGTAAATCCATCGAACTTCGCCCCGCCAGCGACGATATTGCAGCGGCTGTTCCAATAGAGTGCGCGGACCAAACAAGTGCACCACGTAGGCCAGCCACGCGCGGAAATCACCTCCATCAAGAATTCCTGGCTGACGCTCGGGAACGCGGCCTCGAAATCGAAAAACACCGCCGCCGAGGACTCGTAGACCAGAGAATTGTGGAGCATCGCCTCCTCGATGTCCATGAGGTTGGCCAGCATTGACCGGCCGCGAAGGAACCCGCGCTGGGATTCGGAGATCCCTGGGGCGACCTCCGGCTCGATGTGCATACGTACCGCACTGCAAATGATCATGTTGTCGGCGTTGGTGATGTTCAAGGGCCGCATGTTGTGCGCAGTGAAGATGTCCAGTCCTTCTGGGGTAGAACCGGACGGCTTCTTGGGGAGGAACACCATCATGCTTTCATTGAATGTCTCCCAATCCGCCTCCAACATAGAAATCCCACTCGGACAGGCAATCGAGCAGAAGGCATCATAGAGCGCCTCCGCGGCAAATCGCCCAAGCTTGCGCCATGCTTTGAAAGGAATGCCGTCGGGCCCCGGCGAACTGTTGTTCGTGGTGCCGACTGCCTTTTCGAAGGTCTCAAACGGGACTATCTTGCCAGGAACGTGGTGAAGCTGCTCAGGAGTAGCGTGCAAAACCTCATCTGCCAGCCATGCTTGTCGAAGTTGCCCATCGGTACCGCGACGCCGAAATACTTGAGACCAATGCTCTCGAAGTACACGGGCTTGATGCTCCAGAGAGGTCGACACGGTCCCAGCATTGTCCCTGAGCGCAAAATTGGAACACCCACGACCAGGCGCCAAACGAGTAAGAAGCCGGTGGTTTCGCTGCCGCCAGCGCGTGGCCTGCTCCTCTGACAGGCCTTTGATGTCCTCGTGCAGCTGCCGCAGCTCCGACACAGCGTGATCACGTGCAAGCTCCGCAACGTGCTGCCGGACGAGACGGAGACGCCGGCCAACGGGCGAATCGAAGTCGCACGGGTTGTCCACGAGGTCTTTGAGGAGCGGGTACCGGAGAATGCACTGACTCACTCCAGTCGCCGAGCCAGCCTCCGAGGAGCGAAGAAACTTCATGGCGACACCAACTCTGTCCTCGAGCGCCGCGGCATCCTCCGGGGGGGACGCCGAGAATGGCAAGTTGCGGGCAGCCGTCCGCATCGCCTTCTTGAGGCACACCAGCCTGTGGAGGGGAGAGGGGTGAGCCTCCTCAGCCAAAATATCTTGCCATGCCAATGCCACTCGATGAGGCCATGCCGGATTCTCCATCACGTCGTCGGGCAGCGGCGCGGTTTCGAAAGAGGAATGCCTAGGTAGAGCGCGTCGAAAACTCACTGCCCGGTGTCTGGAAAGCTCGGGCGTCCATGCCAAAGCCGCGCATGTCATCTTCCGGTCGAAACCCTCCACGACGCTCTGGTTGCAATAGAATCTGTCGAGGCGGGAGCGGGAGGTCGGCGAGGCGTAGGTCATGTCGGGCTGGTGAAGCTCATGCAGACCATGAGGAAGCTCAGCCAGACGACGCCAATTAGACTGCTCCCCACGGTCCCTCGCGCCCGTCGCAACACCAGTGTTGACGCAGCGACGGTCTTCGGGAGCGGCCGCGTAATTGAAGTCGCCCCCAAGCAGTGTGAGCACCCGATCCTTGGGCAAGATGTGCTGCGCGATGCGCCGGCGCAGAGCATCTCGGAGTTCCACGAAACTGGGAACCCGGCCAAGATGGGAAAGACCTGCCGCGTCGATGTCCTCCTGGGAGGGGGTACTGCCAGTGTGAAAGTACGCGACAATGATGTCCAAGCAACCCTCCGCACCGCGCAGACGAAGGACAGCGGCGCGGCCGGGAAGCAGAATATGCCATCGTGGCCGCGCGGAAAACTTGGAAAGGAACTTGTTCTGAATAGTCACTCCCACCCCCGCGCTGCCTGCGGTGAGGCCGGGAGCCCACCAGGAAGTGCAGTCTGAGGGATTCCGCCAAACAGCGTTGCCGCCAGCGGTGCCATGCGTCTCTGTCCATAGGCCAATATCGTGGTCCGCCATAAGCCTTCGTACATTGTACGACTTGGTCCGATGGCGACCTGCATCCGAGGCAAATAAAGCCTGGCAGTTCCAAGTGACGGCAGAGAAATCCCCTAGGTACGGACTGTCCTGGAGAGGGGGCCGGCGTCGACGTCTGGCCGGAGAGCACGGGCAGGTGGGCGTGCGAGGAGCTGGCGGCGCAGGTAGAACGCCGTGTCCAAAATCGTGGCGGATCTGATTCTGCAGCTGGATCTGGTACGGCAC